AGACCTTGCTGAACTACAGACTTCAGCTCTGAGTGATACTGTTTTTAAGATTCATAATAAGTTAGCAACTACAGGGCTGCAGGAGATATCACAAAGATGTGAGAAAAGGTAAAAAAGCTGATCACTTTAATTTATTAAGAGTCCTTTCACACTACACAAATTTTAGAATTATGATTCCACTTTAACTGCGGTGGTTTCTTCCTACATAATCCTGGGATTTAGTTTAGGGAAGGGTATTTAGAATTCTCAAACAGAAAGATCTAGTGCTCACCAAACTATAAATCCCAAGATTCCATAGGATCTTGCCATGGGGGTTAGTGGAATCATGGCATTATAACTATGTAGTGTGAAAGGGCCCCAATGGGTGAAACAGACCACCCTGAAGGAGTGGATCAGCAACTGCACATGGTGGCCCCAATCCAGCATTTTTTGGCCCCAAAAGCAGTTGCAAAATGCTGCTCATTTTTGACCGAAAAAGAAGCACTCCTTTCGCCATTGGTGTGGCTCTTCTGTGCTCCTGCAGTGCAACACGTGTAAATGCCATGCCTCAGGAACGTCGCAACGTTGCCCGCCATCTGGGTGGGTGGGTGGCATGATGTTGCTTTGGGGGTGGAGTCGAAGCATGTGACGTGTAGTTGCCACATCCCCACTCCACCCTGATGCTGGCCCTTTTGGCCGGTCTGTTCAGCCCCCAAGACTGTGCCACGTGTACTAAATTAAAGTTGTGTTTTTCTTAGGACAAAAAACAAGGGATGAATATAATGCAAACTAAATGACAAGAGCTACAAGCCTATATACACAGTTATCTGGGAGTAGGTTACACTGAGCTCAATGGAGTTATCTCTGAACAGACATGACTAAAATTGCAGTATAAATTTAGCATTTAGCATATATAGCAGCAGAAGTAGCCAAGTGTGCAGCAAGCAAACTAGCTGTGTCACACAGAATCCTTTATGTGTTTCTGTGCAAAAATATCTGGCTTGAAGCAAGGTATAAAGTCGTCTGAGAATATAGTCAAGCAAAATCTTTTTTTTGTGTTTTTTTTTTTGTTTCAGACTTTCTGGGACATAGAATTTCATGCAATACTAGTCATACTATAAATGTATTTACATTTTTTTTAAAAAAATGTTCTGTGGATCTGAACCCAAGGGAGAGACATCCTCTGCCAAATTGTCTTGCCCTTAGCGAAGTCATCAATGGAGAAGATTTGTTGTTGTAGGCAGTTTAAGAATTCCACCACTTTTAAAGGGGGCGTTTATCCTGCCTTTCACTTTCATTTAAAGCTTCAGTGTTCCCTGTTTTAAATGACAGCACCGCAAGCAGTGCTTTTAAGCACAATTCATCTTGCCTACCACATCTCAGGTTTTTACACAGAGCACCACTCTCTCTCCAACAATGGAGTCTTACTCCTTCATAGCTGCAGGGCAGAGGCTGTAACTAGCAGTAAACTTGCTTCCAAATATCACAATAAAGGATACAAATGTGAATTCCTCTTAAAATACAGGTTCAGCTCTGGAAAGAATCTTGCTCTAGCAAACTCAAGTCAATAACACACAATATACCTTTTCTCCAGATACACCGCCGTCCTCCTGTGAAAACAACATCTGACCTAGTAGTAGAGAACAGTGCATCAAAGTGTTACAAGTTTCTCCCCCCTTTGTTTTTAAGTTATCAGTTGATGATGGCTAATTCTTAGGTTTATATTGTTTATTTTCTTCCTTTCTTCCTTGTCTAATATCTGTTTATCCTGGGCTTGGTAATGGTGCATTATAATCTTTGTAAAACGTTCTGCCTTGGCAAAAGTTATGATGGTATAGGAAAACTATCATCAGTAATTATTCCCATTTTACAGACAGAAAGCAGGAGTGGAGTTTTCCAGGAGGACTATCAGTTCCAGAAAGAGAATTTATGGATAAATCAAACTGCCATTTGCTGCAGGAAGCACCTTGCTTGTGTCCAGGAGCCTTCTCCTGGGTTAATAGGTGAAATCTCTGCATCAACAATCAGGACAGGAGGGTAGATACTTTTCCTAGCAGCATTTCTAAAGACTCCTGGGAGCACTTTATGGCAGATGGCATGTGAACATAAATGCATTCTGGCTTATTGTGGTTTCTTTTTTCCACAGAAGAAGGGAAAGAAAAAAAGAAAAGTAGGAAAAGAAAGAGAAGAAGAAAATATAGAGGTTAACAAAGAGAAACCAGTGGTAAAAGCAATGTCTCAAAAAACAAAACGAAAATGGGACAATCTGACCCAGTTAAAAACCAAACTAACAACTCACAGATGTTTGGTGGGACTTTATCTTACATTACAAGCAAGCCAGATAACTCAGCAGATTCTTGAAAGAAGCCATCATAGCCTTGCCTCCACTCTACTAAACCATGAAAGCAATTCTTCTGGCTTCTGTTAGATTTATTAAGGCAAGCTGGACTACTGCTCCAAGGAACGTGTCATGCAACAAAAGGTCCCATTTTCCCTCAGCAACTGGCCTTTGGCTTCTGCTATGTGAGTTCCCATGACAGGGCCAGGGGAAAGTCACAGCTACCATTGCAACAGAGATGGCCATAGGTTGCTCAAAGTATCTGCACAGTACCCTTCCACGATACTAAGAGTGAATACTTAGGTAAGGTTTTTATATTCACTTGTTGCAGGAAGTTTGAAAGCAAAATGAGAACTTATGATGGATCATTAACAGTAGTGAATAAATATTGCAATTATTATTTATATCTGCATGAGCTTTGGGGTTCCCAGACTTCAGAATCTGGCTTTTCTTCTCCAGTGCAAAGGAGAAGACTCTCAAAGCAAAAGTTGTGTCTTGAAATGTATGTCTGTGTATTTGCCTTTGTTACACTTGTTTTAAAAAAGAGGCAAACTGATTGTTTCAGGATTCGGGTGCTGAGGAATTACAAAATATATTGTCAGATGATGGAAAGGAAAAGGAAGAAGATTCTGCAGTTCTGATATCAGATGAAGTATCTGAAGATATGTTTTTGGAGGGAGATTGTGAAGGCTGCATGATGCTGACGTGGGATGAAGAGGAAGGGTCTTGAAAACAGGTGAATGACAGATTTGGAAGTATGGAAATTATGAATGAGAATGCTGATGCTGTGATGAAAAAAATCAGGGATGATAACATATTGGCAACTAACTGGTCATTGAAGAGGTTGAGACTGTGTGGGGAAACTAGAAAATTGTACAAAAGGTATGCAAAGTGTGAGAGGTTTGCCTCAATTTGGATTTTGTCAATTTGAGGGGGAAATATAGATTAGATAAGGTTTAAATGGTGCTGATATAGGATTGACTTATGCATTACTCTTAATGAGATGATTAACAAACATATATTTCTATTTGATTTAAAAGGGAAAAATTGTCTAAATGAAGTATATTACATTTTAAGTTGAGGTTACAGTATATACAATATGGATAATGGTTTTGCCTAATAGTTAACTTTGATATTTAAATATTAAATTTTAGGGAAGTGAAGATAATCATCGATGAAGGCTATTATTTGAACTTTGAAGAGTGGAGAAACATTTCGTTTAAATAGATTATTATCATTAACTGTTATCAACAGAAAGATACTAGAAAATTAACTTTGCATTAGCTCTTTGTAAGACAAGTATTTTATATGGTAATTTTTTACTTTATGTGTGTATACAGGTAAAGGTATTCCCTGTTGACAAGATTGTCAAGTCGTGTCCGACCATAGAATATTGATAGATTAGATTGATGGATTATAGTCTAATAGAATATTGATAGATTATAGAAAGAAATGTATTTTTATCTGCTTCTCTTTTTTTAGATGAGGAGGCTTAATTAGGATTAGGATAAAGCAGCTGAAGAAAAGACTGGATGTTACTTTTATTTCTTCTTGTTATTCTTTCTTTTTTCTTTCTTCTTTTTTTCCAGCCCTCTTGTTTCTCCCCCCCCCCCATTTGTTACATGTGGACTGCTTTCTGTATTATACTTTTATCTGCATTACATAATTCTACTAAAATATTCTTTTTTTTTTTTTTAAAAAAAAGGAGGAGCTAGGGCTGGTGAAGGAGAATGAGTGAGAGCTAGTCATGAAGCTCTTCAAACAGACCCATCTTAGATGCTTTATAAGTCACACTGATGAGAGTCCCAGAGGTGACCATCTGTTACTAACTCTGATTCAGTTGAAAGATACTGTAAGGTCAGCTTCTGCTTAACAAGAAAGAAGCAGAAGATTCAGGGACAAGTCCTGGAATGAAGAGGTACTGAATGCAACTGAATGAACTGGGGAAAATATAAGTGATCGTTGGTTCATAAAATGTAGCTGAGGTAACAGAGAAATTATACAAACATCACTTAAAAATTAAGTCAACCCAACTCATCTGGTTTTGCTATGCATTATTTAGTACACTCCTGAGGCCAAGGGCTGTGTTGTGAAAGTATTTGTTCCAAATTAACTAGTTCAAAATAAATACACCTTAAATCACTATTTCCAAAATCATGCAGTTGAGATTAGTTTTCTTTAATCACTTTTTTTTTTAAAAAAAGTCTGTTCATATTATTGTGGATTTTAAAGAATTATTAAAAGGATTCTCTCAGTACATGCTCACTATTCTCCCAGAGCATATTTAAAGACGCATTTGATTCAGGAACATAATCCCAGATTAAACAAATTACAGCATTTTTCAACAAGCTATCTGTGAAGTACTCTTTTTGAGAGTAGAAAGTAAACATCTATATACCACTATTCAGCTGCTCTACAAGAGGAAAGACATGGCTAACATTTACTAAAAGGTAACTAGTCTGTATTATATGTAGAGCCTTATCAGAAAGAGATATATATTAACATAGGCGTGAGCTAATCTGCTGGTACTGTTTTTCTAAAGTGACCTGGAAGCTGAAGGAATTTGTGGTGTGGCACATGATTGAAAATATGAGCTGTCTTGCCATTCCCTTTCAGTCTTGAAAGAGATTTCTTCCTGTGCCATCCCATCCCCTCTACCATCCTGCTACTATGCCAGTTAGGAGCCAGTGTGGCATAGTGGTTTGAGCACTGGACTATGACTATGTAGAGATCAGGGTTCAAATCCCAGCTTGGCCATGAAACCTACTCTCAGCTTTAAGGATGGCAATGGCAAACCCCCTCTTAGCAAATCTTGCCAAAAAAAAAAACCCATGATAAGTTTGTTTTAGGGCAGACCTGCACAACTTGGCAGTAAGAGGGGGCCAAAATTTAAAAAGGCTACATTTCTTTGGGCCGCAGTTAGGTTTTAATTAAATATTAATTCATTAATAATATTAATTCCACCCTTCTCCGGAGAAAGAAGAGCAGCAGAGCAGCCTCAGGAGAAAGCTGAGCAGCAGAGCAGCCTTACCTGTCCCTCTCCTCCTCCACTTGGACTTCCCCTTGGGAGAAGGCTGAGTGACAGAGGAGCCTTGAGGGCAAGTGTTTGTCCCTCTTCCTTCTCTGCTACCCAACCTTCTCAGGAAAAAGTTGGGCAAAGGAGAAGCCTTGCAGGGAAGCATTTGTCTGTTTTTCTCTTCCCCCCCCCCCCACTTGTCCTTCTTCTCAGGAGAACCTTGCAGGGTAGATGTTTGCCTGATCTCCTCCATCCTGCCGCCTGGCCTTCTCCTCAGGAAAAGGCAGGGTGGTGGAGGAACCTTGCAGGGTAAGCATTTACCCATCCTCTTCCATCACTGCCTGGCCTTCTCCTTGGCAGAAAGCCAGGCATCCGAGGAGCCTTGAGGGGCAAGCATTTGCCCATCCTCTTCCTCCTCCTCCTCCAACACCAGGCTTTCTCCTCAGGAGAAAGTCAGGTGGCAGAGGAGCCTTGCAGGGTGAGTGTTTGACCTTCTTCCTCTTTCTCTGCATACCTTCTCCTCAGGAGGAGGCAGAGCAGCAGAGAAGCCTTGAAGTTTCACATCCTCATGTTTCACAGCCTCATGGGCTGCCCAAAATCCTTTGGCAGGCCACATGCAGCCCCTGGGCCATATGTTGTGCAGGCCTGCTTTAGGGTTATCATAAATCATAAAGGACGTGAAGGCACACAACAACGATGCCACTTATGCTGGCAAAGTTACCCTAGGCTTTAACTGTTTTCTCATACCTGTACATACAATTTTGAAATGATCCAAGTTTTCTCATACCTGTACATACAATTTCGGCATGAACCAAGTTGGATTGCTCATTGTAGGTAGTCAACTATGTCTGTCCACCAGTGGAATGGATAATACCAATGGAACAGACTTCCCCTATATCAGAGGAAGGAGAGTAGAGGAAAGGAAAATCCCACTGAGTGAGGACTATGCAAATGATTGGGTATTGCTCTCAAGGTCTTCTTTGACATTTCCAATGGTTCTGGAAACTGTATTGTTTCTCTCCATTTTTTTTTAAAAAAACCAACATATTTTATTATAAAATGTTTGTAAATTTTCTATTTCTAAATTTTAAAATAATTGTAATAACCTAGCTGGTTTAACTAGCTATCTCCCCTTATGTATTAAAGTTTAAACATGGGATTCTAGGATTCAGCATGAGACTCATTAACATTCATGAACCATTCCCCTCATTTTGACTTTAGGTAGGGATGGGTGAAAACCTTTTGAGAAATTTTGGAAAAAAATCACTGATTATTAACCAGCTGTGAAATGTATTCTTAATTCCAAAGACTGTGGCAGAATTTTAGTATCTATTTATTATAGAAATGGTCTTATCAAGGGTAGTTTTTTTAAAAAAAATATTTATATTAGGTAAAGATGTTGGAAGAGTCCTCCTCCCATCCCTCCTGTTGCTCTCCTAAAAACAACACATAAAGCATACCACAGGACAAGAATTTTGTAAGGGAAATGTCCTACACCAAACCAACCAATAAGCCAAATACAATGATTTCAAGTACAAAACAAATAAATACCCACTTTTAGAAATAATTAAAATAATATTTAATAGCTAAGAATGATTACATGTTTTCATATCAGTCATATGCAATTTGAAAGAACTAGCTTATGAAGTCCAAATATAGCATATAGCCTGCAACAAAATTCAAGGAATTTAAAATTCATATGCAAGGAATTCTGAGCAACCAAATATTGAGTAATCAGAAATATTAGTATGCATTAAACTCATTGAAATAAATGGCAGTAAGAACATAATATGTCAAGAGCCAGCCCAAACTCCTGACGACAGCAAGGTATATCAGACATCACTTTAAAGCACACAACATTGATTTCCTTTAGTCCTGCCTTTTGTGGGGCAGGAAACAGCAGGCGGGAGGTTCTGTGGGCTTTCTGTGCAATATCACTTGACACTGGCTTGTATTGCTTTTTGCAGGGCTCTCATTCCATTTACATAGTTTCCTACACACTGTGAAGAGTCAACTTGCTACACACAGTATTCTTGGAAATACGCAGAATCAACAAAAAGTTACTCAGATTCCTTAGCTTCCTTTCACATTTCTACAGAGGTTCCATTGGAGGTGGATGCTGCAGTTTTACCCAGAATTTCAAAACAGCTTTCACATTTCAAACAAATTTCAAATACATAAGTAAGTCTCAAACATTTTGGCCATTTAATACAATCGTGGTTGCTAATCTTTGCAATTTGTGCAAGGGATAAACCCTTTTCAGGCTCTCAGTTAATAGAGAATGAGCTCCTCTGTTGCCATCACCACATAAATTGGAGGAAAACATCTGCAGCTGAAAGCCTTCTCTCCTTGTGGATGCTCCCTGTGGAATTCATAAAGTAGGAGCCTCATTGTTCTTCATATTCTGAAGAGCCCACATGAAGCCAGTGAGGAAAGGTCACTGCCTTCAGAGGAGTATCAACTTTTATAAGGCTGGGGTGCCATTTTAAAGCACATCTACCATGTTATAGAGCCAGTGTGTTGTAGTGGTTTGAATGTTGAGACCAGGGTTCAATTCTCACCTCAGCCATGAAACCCACTGGGTAACATTGGGCAAGTTACACTTTCTCAGCCTCAGAGGAAGGCAATGACAAACCTCTTCTGAACAAATATTGCCAAGAAAATGCCATGCTAGGATTGCCTTAGGATCACCATAACTCGACTTGAAGGCACCACCACCACCACCAAAAACAACAACAGGGGTTGAGAAAGAATTTTGGGAGGATTATTCCTGACTGGCTTTCTGGAATGGTGGTGCAGTGGTTAAATGCTTGTGCTGCAACCTCTCACTCACAAACTACAAGGTTGCAAGTTCAATACCAGCCAGGGCTCAGGTTCAACTCATGCTTGCATCCTTCTGAGGTCACTAAAATGAGTAGCCAGCTTGCTAGGGGCAATTATCTTACAGGTGTAAGCCGCTTAGAGACTGCATAGCACGGTATAAAACAGTATATAAATGCAGCTGCTATTCCTAATCCATAAAATTGCTTATTGTTTTAGTTTGATTAAATAACTGATTATGCCACATATGATGTGTAGTCAGGGCATGGAGAGAGAACTGTTTAGGAAATATAGGTAAGCACCCTCAGTACATTTTTATTTGGTGAAGGTTTGCTGTCATAACCCACCAAATCTTGAGGCTGATCAGCCTGAGGGTGCAGTGGCAGTGGATCCAGAGTGATCCGGCAGGTTTTCCCTCTCTGAATTCTGACTAGCAAGTGCTGGGTGGAGACTGTGACAAATCTGCTTCAGAAGTTAATTCTGGGTCAGGCTTTTAGCTGGAGTAATGTTGCCCTTATACAGGGGAAAGCATTACTGTATATATTTGACTATAAGTTGAGAAATTCATGCCCAAAAATTGACACTAAAATCTGGAGTCGATTTATATACTGGTCAATACAGTTACCATGGGTTGAGATCAACTGGAGGACAGTTAACAACAACAACAACCAGTAATATTGCTCATACAGCTCCTTTAAAAAACAGCCCTGATGCTCCACTCTCCATGCCTTAGTAGTAACTATGTGAGTGTGTGTGTGGTAATTTCCTTTTCAATCCTATCTCCAAATCTTTCCTCCCCCTCCTTTTCCTCCTCCTCCTCTTTGCATTTCACCATTTTCCCTCCATTTTCAAGCCAATCTCCAAACCTTTTCTTCTCTTTGCAAGTCTCCATTTTCCCTCTACTTTCAAGCTGATGTCCAAACCTTTGGTTCTTCTCCTCCCCCCCCCCTTGCATTTCCTCTGAAAACCAAGCTTCTCTTTCCCCCTCATTTCCGCTTTCAAACTGATCTTAAAACCTGTCTTCTAAATTCTACCCTTGACTTATCAATGGGTGATATCAAAATCCATGATTTTGGCCCTAAAACCTTCCTTCGACTTTCCCAGTATTCCTAACTATTGATCAAGCTGGCTGAAGCTTCTGGAAATTGAAGTTCAAAACACCTGGAGGACCAAAGTTTGGGAAATACTATTCTAGGGGGTGCTATGACAAGGAAAACCACTGCATTAAATATACATAAATTATACCTATTAAATTCAATTACAATTTCAAACTGAACAAAGCTAAACTAAAAATGTTATTGTAAGCAATATCCATTAACCTTGGACCACAAAGAACCCCTTTGTAAAAATTGTGTATATGCTTCTCTAAATTCCTCGAAGGAAAGGCGGACTATATGATCAATCACCAATGAAATAATGAGAAAATGTGCCAAACCTGATTCGTCTGAACAAAAATAGATTTATAACAGGCAATAAACACATACTTCCCTAAATCAAAATACAGAAAGGAGACATTGGCATTCTTCAGTTAAGTGATTTGTTAAAATAAACAGCTCTACAAGCCAACAATTTAGACCACAACACACAGGCTGCGATTGTTAGTAGCCATGTGCATTGATGTTATAATGCATTTTATCCAGATTAAAATATAATTAAAATATAATATTGTTGATGAACCTGATTTTTTTAATAAATTGTACAATGGAATACAAAGCAGCAAACAGAATTTTGGAAGATAAAAAACAGGTAATCCAACTTTTTATCACAAGGTTCTATATGGGGAAAAACACATTGTATATGACATAGCCAAATTATTTATGCATTTTACATACTCCTTGGTACAATGAGAATGTGGCTGTGGCATATCAGACCAAGTAGATTTTACAAGGGATTATAAATATTCATGGCCTAATGAACCATC